TTATTTATAATATCTTTACCCCACCTTTCTCCTTAAAAAGGAGCCAAGGTGGCTTACAATATTAAGAGACAATATTGAAGCTAACAACAGTGAGTATATGAATACTAAAAAGGATCAAACAAAGACCGTACAAAAATACCATAAGCAACACCAAAACAGTTATTCAAATCAGTTATTCCTATGCGTCTGGAACATGTCAAGAGCCAAATGTAACATCTCCAATTTCTGGTTTTGTTTTTTTGTACTTCTTTGGCATTTTTCATGGTCTATGTGACCCTTGGAGGGTTCCAGGACAGAAAATAGGCTCCTGGGCCCTACAGAGTTTCCCACACTACTGTGAAAAGAATAGCCACAATTATTTAGAAATTGCCTAAATTCCAGAAGTATCTGTATACATTAGAGGCACTGTTTATGTACTTATGTAGAACTATCCATCCTTCCCAATGAAACATAATGATGATAAATATTGTTCATCTTGTTCTTATTCTAAAGATACTGGTATGGGCAATTAGTTAGTGATAACACTGGCATATTTTGAATGCATGCAAGTGCTACAGGATGAACTGCTCAGTGGTTTAGGTCTCTGGCTGTAGCCAGAGGTTTGGAGTTCCATTCCCCACTGTGGTTCCTTGAAAGGAGCTGGCCTCATGGGGTCCCTTCCAGCTTGGCAATTCTAAGCTTATTCATTTAGTGCTGTAGACTGTGCAAGGCTACTGACCATACCTAACTCCCTGAACTATCCATGGGGTTAAGAACCACTGCTGTAGACTGTGCAAGGCTACCAACCATACCTAACTCCCTGAACTATCCATGGCCATGGGTCTAACTTAATTCACAGTAGTCTCTTGTGAGTGGATTGCATATGCTGTGTTGTGTCATCTAAGCTTTTCTCAGTATCCTGTATGACAGCCTTATGTAACTAGGTGTCTTCCATATGTGATGGCCTATAACCCCCATCACTCTTAGCCAGCATGATTGTTGCTTAGGGGAGTGCATATGTTGTTTGGGGGTGATGGTTATAATTCAAGGTATCCAGAACATCAGGATGAGGAAAGCTGATATTCAAGAGTTTTCCCAGAAATTTGGTCCTATTCTTTCTTCGTGTTTGTGTGTACATACATGAAACTGCATTTTATTTAGCCTTTATCCCCCTTCCCCCCCCCCCCCACTCAAAAGTTTCCCCAGAAATTTGGTCCTATTCTTTCTTCATGTTTGTGTGTACATACATGAAACTGTATTTTATTTAGCCTTTATCCCCCTCCCCCTCCCCGAAAATAATCTCAGTCCTTGTTTTTTAGCTGGCCTCCTTTTGAGAGTGTGTTAAATCTGCAGCCAGGTTCACTGTCAGCTCTGGGCAAATCACTGAGCTGTTATTAACCTGCTTCCATGGTAACTGCTGCTCACAAGCCTGAGGACAAAAAATTGTGTTTATTCTGCTGAGCTGCACAAAAGGTTCTAGTGATGCTTTAGACAAAATGGCCATTGAATGCGAGTTGCATTGATGTGTAGCTTCCCTGCACAGTTTTAGATCTAAAGTGTTTTTACACTGGCATGTAAGGATAGCGTTGAACACAGCCGCTGTGTACTTTTAAATTCTATTTTTAACATTTCTCCCCATATTTTTGTAAAGGAAGTCATTAATTCCATTTGTGCTTTCACTTCCTGGATAATCTTTCTCTGTGTTCAAAGAGTGGAAGCTGTGTTATATAAGGACTGAGAAGTCCCTTCTCTTGTTAACTCTTCTGTCTGCTGTGTTACTTTTTATAACAGCAGACAAATTCTTCTTTTACTTTTTTATTTTTTGGCAAAAACACACACACATATGCCTTTACAAAGATTGTGTCAGGAAGAAAAAAGAGATAGTTAAAATCTTTAGGGTCATGAATGTATGTGGATTTGATGTGTAGTGTAAAGCATGCCAAAAAGTACTTCACAGAAATAGAGGTTTGGGCCAGTTGACAAATCTTTGCATTATTAAGAATAGTTTGCCAGACTTTTTACCTTACAGACATTGTTTATGAAAGCTTTATATCTGCAGCTATATTCTGATGTGTTTGTATGTGTTCAGTCTTAAGTTATTTCTGTGACAGAAATTGTTGTTTAGTTGTTAAGTCATGTCCGACTCTTCATGACCCCACGGACCAGAGCACACCAGGCCCTCCTGTCTTCCACTGCATCTCAAATTCATGTTGGTAGCTTCAATGACACTGTCCATCCATTTCATCCTCTGTCGTCCCCTTCTCCTCTTGCCTTCACATTTTCCCAACATCAGGGTCTTTTCCAAGGAGCCATATATTTCATATTGTTCTTGGTGCACTTAGAATTACATATTGCATTTGTTTGTTACTGATCAATGTAAAACAAACTGCTGAAATAGTACAATGCAGCTATTTCCTCTTCAAAATGAGATAGGAACAAGCCAACGTCTTTTTCTAGTAACAAAGTAGAATTTTTAACTAATCTGAGGTATGTCCTCCAGCTGATCCTTTCCCAGTCCACTGAATTCCCAACACTTCCTTCAATGACTTGATTTCTCACCAACCTAATGCAGGTCTCTTGATCATCCCTTCACCTTGGAACTCCTGTTCAGGCACAGAGAGGGAAGACTTTTGTCTCCAAACCTATCAGAGGTATTACAACAACATCAAGTCAGGAGTAGAGGGAAGTGTAATGATCCTAGTACTCCTTATAGGGGTTGGAGGGAAGCAGGTAGGTGACCAGAGGAGAACCCAATTGGTTGTAATTAGTATCTTGCATTTGAAGCAAGTTTTATTCTGAGTCACCAGAAACTGCAATTCTACTCAAAATAACAAAATAAAACAAATACATTTGGATTAAGCAGGACTTGCTTGGGCATATTAAGTAGTTTGGTAATTTGAAGATCACAACAGTGGGAGGCTTCCTTTGTCCTTGATAAATGAGCCACTTTTATTGTTTGGAGAGGAATTGTAGAAGGAAGAAGGGCGGCTGGGAATTTCCCAGTCCAAAACAAGGCCAGCTGCTTCACACTTAAGCTAAGGATGTATTCAGCCGCCCCTTATTGTTAATAATCCTGTTGGAGATTTCCGTACTGTAACACATGGCACTATATCTTACCACAAAGCACATATAGCACTATGAGATGAAATATCAGTCAAAGCAACAGCAGCAGCAATAAGAGTAAAGGCTGTTGGAAACTTCTCTCACATCAGAATTCTGCCTTCTGGGTAAAGTTACTGCCTCAAAGTGAAGGCTGGAATTGAATATATATATATCCACTCAACCACATTGCTTACTACATTTAGAATGCAGTTTTGATGTTGTTAAACGAGACCAACCCATTCCTCATAGGCCATAGATGGAAGTTTACACAATGACAGGGCATTAGAATGTGTTAATAAATAAGTTCCGAGGAGCTTCAGTATCTTCTAATGAAATTATCATCCATTTTTAATTTTTCAAAGTTAACTCAGTAGTGTTCTGGATGTTCACTTGCTAATTCCACTCGATAGCTTGTAAGCTCGCCATACCAATGATGCTTGTACCATAAGATGATCCATTTTTAACTAGTTCTAGTTCTGAACAAAGCTGACACTGATATTGATCTACTTTTCTTAATGCTGGTTTTTGTTTTGTTTGGGGGAGGACGTTTTTGCATCACCATGTGAATCTCAACTGTTCATTTCTCTTCAGTAAGTTGCCTCTGAAGCAGTTTCCTAACCTAAGGTCTTGAGTGCCAAGGGGGTAGCAAAGTATTTTCGGGGGGGGGTTACAGTCACCTTATACTCGTTGTAGCCCTTGTTAAATAATCTCTTCCTTGACCTTTTGGAGAGGGATAGTAATGTTAGGATGTATGTGTAAGTATGAGGAACAAGCCCTTTGGGAGAGAAAGAAGCTCCTACTTTCTGGGAATGGATGGCTTTACCCCATTAAAAATGTCTTTTTATGCAAATATGGTGAGGGGTTGTAGGTTACTTGGCTATTATAAAAGGGATTTGCAACTTGAAAAAAGTTGAGAACCACTACTCTGAAGGCTTCAAGGCATCTTTTTTATGGGATTGGTTGTAAAAATGTCCATTGCTGGCTTTTAGGATGTTTACTAAGTGGCAAGAAATCTCTAAGAAATATTATATTTACAAGTTTCAAAGAGATTTGGATGTTTTCCAGAAGCATTGTTCAAACACAAGTAAGAAGAGAACCATTTGTTGTGTTCGTGTAGGACTTCTTGAGTGTCAAAAGTGCCCATTGGACATTATTTCAGTAACGTTTATTAAATCCTTGTCAAGTGTACCAACATAAATTTTGCCATGTCGCAGAATGGCGTCTGAGGTTTCCAAAGGCCATCAAGAGTAGCCTGTGTGAGGTCACCCAGCAGATTGATGGCTCGAGTGAAATTTGGGATGGGAAATTTGCAGCCCCGACAATTGGCCTCAAGCCTGCAAACATGTCTCAAAGGGCAGTATGGAATCTTAGAAGATGGCGTTTTGTTACCTGTCTTAGAGGGAATGTTTTTTTGTTTCAAGATGGAAAGCAAACTATTTGCTACAGCATCTCAGCTTCTTACATTAGGTTGTATCCAATTAGTTTTCTTTTGTTGCCTTACTAAAGAGCGTTTCTGCTTCTGCCAGTTGAACAACCCAATTTTTACTGATTCAACATTCCGACATCTACTACAGCCCTCTGCCCTAAATCTCATTATGTTCTAGAGTATCCCACACTCCCATTGCCTCTCAAGAGCAGCTTTTTGGGGAGGGGGTGGGGGGAGGGATTAGTAGAAGTGCCCTGACTTGTGCAAACGGGATTCTTGTAACTCTTGAGCTTTGAGGCAACACATACAAAATGGAAGTCCACCAGCTAAACTAGGAAGTGCAGTCCCTTGAGCTTTAAACAAACTGTTTGCTATTGTTCCCCTTTACAACTTTTGCCACATGAAACCCAAGTAATATTGTCTCTGTAACTTGCTCTTGTACTTAAAATAATGTTGCATTTATGCCACTCCCTTTCTCCCCTCTCTATCTTAGGTTGCTTTGAATGTTGCATTAAGTGCCTCGGAGGAGTTCCATATGCTTCACTTGTGGCAACAATTCTCTGCTTCTCTGGGGTAGCATTGTTCTGTGGCTGTGGTCATGTGGCTCTTGCTGGCACCATATCTATCCTCGAACAGAGTTTTTCCACAAACGTCACTGACCACGCTTTGTTATCTGAAGTGTAAGTATGAAACTTGTTTTACATTATGGAATAGTTGTGCTGTTTGAACTGTGTTTACTTAGGAAAGGTAAGGTCATATGCAAGATGGGAGGACTTATCAAAGATAGGAGCGCAGAGACCTGTACAGATTCTGCATAGAAGGAGGTGAAAAATCAGAGATGAGTTTGAAGACCACTATATTTCTCCTATTCTGGCCGAGCTGCATTGGCTGCCCATTCGGTTCCGCGTTGACTTTAAAGTTTTGACACTTGCGTATAAAGCCCTAAACGGTTTAGGGCCTCGATACTTGGCGGAACGCTTACTCCCACCTAGTTCTACCCATGTCACACGTGCGAGTCTGGAGGTGAGGCTGAGGAGCCTGACACAGAGGGAGGCCCAGAAGGAAAAAACAAGAAACCGGGCCTTCTCAGTGGTGGCTCCTCGCCTCTGGAACAATCTGCCTCCGGAGATTCGCGCAGCTCCCTCGCTGGGTGCTTTTAAAAATCAATTAAAAACGTTAATTCCTGATTCTTTCCCCTCCTCTCTCTATTTGATTTATTACATATGTTTTCCATCTTGTAGAAATGTTTAATTGTATTATATTTTTTTCTTATATTGTGTTGTGTTGTATTGTATGTTGTAAGCTGCCTAGAGTGGTCGCAATGACCAGATAGGCAGGGTATGTATAAATAAATAAATAAATACAAACAAACAAACAATCAAACTACCTTTTGAAATATTTGCAGAAGTTGGTCACAATGGGATGCGGGGAGAGAAAAGGAATTGTGGAATTTCTGGGGACAAAAGTGAACAGATGAGAATGCGTTTCTGTATGCCTCTTCCCAAAGTCTGCTGCTATTAGGGATTCAGCATATACTTTCACTTCAGATGTCTTGTCTAATTTGACGGGGTGGGGGGGAAGAAAACGAAGAGTAGCAGTAAATCTCTAGGAGAGCATAGCTATTCAGCTCCATAGCAACAGAAGGTAAAAAAGGATCTGTTGCCTGGAGATCGCAGGCCACTAAAAATATACTGCAGAGGTACCTGGGAAAGCAGTTTAAGGATGAAATTTAAAATATTGTCAGTAACCATTTGTATGGCATTTCTTTCACATGTGCCATACAACCATATGGAAAGAGGCCATGGAACTAATCTTCATTAATTAAATTAGTGTTATATAATATTAACTAGGTTCTATCTTCGGACGTTAAGCAAGGTCCTCCTTTTCTTTCTTCACACTGAAAAGTGTGGCCTTTCTTCCCTCATGTTTCTGTACACAAGCCCTAGTCAGTTCCTTCAACATTTTGCTTATCTGATCTTTCTTTTGAAAAACCCATACTCTTTCCAGCATTTTTTAAAAAAATGTGATATGTTCTGCTAAGGAATGTAAAAACATGCAAATCTGTGCATGTAACACTTTGGTCTAAGTGTCTGCAGAATATTGAGATTTGACTTAGCTGAGTGTTGCATGGAAAAAGAAGAGGAAACGATTTCAAAGGACTGATATGCAGAGTTTCATAGAGCAAGAGCAACAGTAGCCCTCTAGATATTATTTGGCTGCAACTCCCATCAGACCTCATCTAGCGGCGACAGCTGATGGGAGTTGTAGTCTAATAATTTTGGGGGGCACAAGTTGCCCACTTTTGCTTTAGAGGAAAGAAGTTAAAGAAAGCTAAAAATTGGCCTTTTTAAATTTCATTGTCTGTGAACATGGTTAGATTCCTCTTATGACAGAAAAATAACCTGTTTTCCTCACAAAAATAAATGATATTTCTCAACATTAGCTGCAAAATATAAACTCCTAACCTTTGAATATTGTCTGTGAACATGATTAGATTCCTCTTACGACAGAAAAATAACTTGTTTTCCTCACAAAAATAAATGATATTTCAAATAGGTTTTCACCACAGCTAGGAAGTGCAAACTATTGACTAAAATAGTAATTATATTTCATAGGTTTCTGAGGAACTTCTTGTATGCATTCAGCCATAATGAGAGAGACAATTGGGGGGGGGCTTCTTCTCTCTCTCTCTCTCTCTCTCTCTCTCTCTCTCTCTCTCTCTCTCTCTCTCTCTCTCTCTCTCTCTCTCTCTCTCTCTCTCTCTCTCTCTCTCTCTCTCTCTCTCTCTCTCTCTCTCTCTCTCTGTGTGTGTGTGTGTGTGTGTGTGAGAGAGAGAGAGAGAGAGAGAGGCTTCCTTCCCAGCAGAAGACAGTTTTGATTCCTGCTGGGCAATTTCAAGGAAGCTGTTTTCAGTAGAAAGGTTAGCAAACTCAGAAGTAAATAGCATTTCAAACCATTCTGTGCCTATGTTTTCTCAGGAAATAAGAGAAATATGGGAGGTTATATCTGTGTATGAAATGTAGCATTTTGCATTCTCCAATGTATTGAGGAAGATTCCCTCCCTTCTGGGGCAGGATTTTGGCAAAGAATTTGGTTGCAACCAAGCTTCCCTGAGTTCTGCTTCGCAGCCATTTTTCTGTCCTCATCTACTTCAGCATCAACTCCACTTCCGACATATTTTGGCATATGTTGGCATGTTGTCTTCTGAGTTGGTAACAAAGCTGTATTGTGGCTGGAGGAATTCAAGGTTTGAATGAATATATAAGTTAGTGTAGAGTCGGTAAAATGTTATATTTTCCTTGGTGGGAGTGAAAGGCCAAATTTTAGCATTTGCCATAAAATGCTATCAACCCCTTAGATGAACAGCAGCTGAGGATCCCATGTTAATCACTGGCCAAAGATTTTGTTGGATAGTCCAGTCTGTTTATAGAACTTGATTCCTTGTCCACATTACCCTGGTTGGCTGTGCTGAAAGTCACAGAGACATCAGAAGTCACAACTGACACAATTTCATGTCTGCCCAGTTCATTAGAGAGGAGCATCTCTGTTAAAGCCTTGAGTAGGCCATGTTCCCCTGACACTCTTGAGCTATAAGGTCCAGCAAGTGCTCTATTGCTGGGAGGCTCCCATCAGCCCAGCCACATTTTACTGGAACATTTATAGCCACAGGTGCAATGCAAATGGGTTTGGTTTTTTTTTAGCCAGCAAAAGGCAGACAGCCAGAATGGCTTTGTGGCCCAAAGTATAGAGGTTCTCTGGTAAAACTACACATTTTATTATATTGCCATCCCATGTCTGATGTTACCATTGAGGTCACACTTCGTTCTTTTGCCCTTTGTTCAACTCTGTACAGTGGTGCCTCGCAAGACAAATGCCTTGCAGGGAAAAAAACTCGCAAGACAAATGGTTTTGGCAATGGGGTTGATGACAAATGTTCCTATGGCCGTGCTTTGGAAGATGAATGTTTTCCATTTTTTGTTCCTGCCTCATGTTTGCTGATTTTTAAATGTTTTTCTATGATGTTTAAAAAGTTAAAGTTTTTTGCTTGATGAAATTTTTTAAATCATCTGCACAATATGCATGGCTTTAAAGAGCATTTAATAAACCCTTTGTAAACCAAATTTGACTTTGTTCTGACTTTTTTTGCCCATAGGAATGCATTAATTAGATTTCAATGCATTCCTATGGGAAAACGCGTTTCACAAGATGAATTTTTCGCAAGACAACATTAACCACAGAACAAATTACATTATTCTTGTGAGGCACCACTGTATATTAATTAAAGATGCTGTATTTTGGCATGGCAAAATCTGACTTCTCCAATTATTCCTTCTCAGAATAAAACTCATGCAGTATGTGATCTACGGAATTGCATCCTTTTTTTTCTTGTACGGAATCATCCTGTTGGCAGAGGGCTTTTATACAACAAGTGCGGTGAAGGAGTTGCATGGTGAATTCAAGACAACTATCTGTGGTCGTTGCATCAGTGGAATGGTGAGTGTGATACAGTAGTATGAATTAGTATCCCTTCCAGTCAACATTAGCAGATCTCTTGTGTTTCCAAAGACTTAACAAACAATACATCAAGTTCAGATGCCAGTAGCTTTTCTGTAAGAAAAAAAAGTAACATTCTGCAGGAACCATCTTTCAGACCAGCTTCCTGATGCACCATTTAGGTATACTCAGATAGTCACTTTGTCAGGTATAAGATACAATACAGGACCAGTGTATGAGATCTCGTTAATGGTAGCCGGGTTTTATATGGATGCTATTATAAAGTGGTAGGAAAGGTTGCTGGTCATTATATCCTGTTAATTTGGTCCTAGTATCCAGTGTCCTGGTACCCTAGTATCTACAGTGAGATTCCCTATGTAGCAAGCAAATGGGCTCAGTTCAGTCAGCTTTAAGACATTAATATGCATACCCATTGTCCTGCACTGCTGAAGGAATTCAGCCTTTGTTTTGCTCTTAAGATGAGAACTATGCAACTCACATAAATATCAGCTAATACTTACTAATGCAAACATGCGGAACTGCTGTCTGTCACTGCATGACATCTTGTCACATATCAGTCAGTTTTTCAGCATTGGAGCCCAGGTTCTGGGAGGCAAGCTCTTTCCTGCTTTACATATATGAGGATTGCATGAACAGACAGCAAGATCTCCTGAGCATCATTAGACTGTAATACAGTATGTAACTGGCAAATAGTTCCCCCCTTTCCCTTGACCCCAAATCCTGCAGTTTTCCCAGTTTCTCTGCCCCCCCCCCAATGTTTGCATGTCTTTCATGCTACTCCCAGCACTGCAATCTGCTTCATGGACAGACCATCTGCCACAGCTCTGTTCTTGTCTTCTTCCCCTCGAAGGCATTGTTATGTCATAACCCCTGGATACTCTTCTTGCTCCCTTGAGTAGCTTTCTGTAACATCTGAACTGAGAGAGATAATGCGATCATTGCCATAATGAACTGAGTCCCGTCTTCCAGGTACGTATCTGCTTATCTTTGCAGTAATCTTATACCTGGTCCGCCTGGGCAAGACAGCAAGTGGTCATCTCAGAATTATCTCACACGCTCACTTTTAATGTACCACATCCCTCCAGGCTAAAGGAAACAGGGAATGGTAGAAACCAAGAACAGGAAAAAAATTGGATTCTGTTACTATTTTCTGAAAGACAGGCTGATTCAGCTGTCTGTATGCAGGTTGTTATGCTTAGAGTTATCTCAGAACAGAAACAGATGAGATGTGAGTTTGAAATTACAGGATGATCAATCATTATCCATCCAAATACAAGTTTTCCAGAGTTTCTGCTGTATGTAATCAACTTGCAAATGAATCCCTTGCTTATCTTCTAATGTCAAGTCACCTAATAAAAGGTAGGCTCATCTACAACCTCTAAAGCAACAACATTTTGTAGTAGAAGAAATAAATATCCTCTTATTCTTTAGGGATCTGGCTGGATAGCTCGGTGTCTGACATATCGGGTAGCAGAGCTAGAGCTTGGGGGTTTGGTTCCCTATCTGGCATCCTAAGAAAAGAACCAGCCTGTGCAGCCTTGAGCAAGCTGCTTGGTCCCACTCTCTGACACCACGGCACTCTCAGAAGCAGGGGATGGTAAACCTAAGTACTCTGTACCTAGAAAACCTTGGAAAGAATCACCATAACTCAGAACTGAGTTGATTGCATGCTGTTGTTACATTTTTAGGGTGCTCCACTTCTAACTGTGAACTTTGCATCTCATCTGTTGGTGCCCTCCGTTTAAAATTTAGGATCTAGTGCTGTTGAAGTAAAAAAAAAGTATAATCCCTCTTAGTCTCCAATATAATCCAAACATTTAAAAGTGTAGACTTAAAACAAGTTCAAGACCTAAAGTATCTCCTTTTTCTTAGAAGACATTATTTCTGAAAGAAAAAAGTTACTACAGATTATTCTTGCTAGATGAAGGGTCTCTGTAAATGTTTGCACACTTAGGTATAGTATGTTAGTATAAATTGTTCCAAAACCAGTGAGTTGTAAACAACATTGTCAAAACGTTGATGTGAGATATGCCTTATTCTTTAAGGAGCAAAAAGGATCTAAAAGACTCTATATGCTAATAACAAATAATTTAAAATTAAAATGCTGATCAAATCCTAGGGCACTTATGTAATACACCATGTTGTGTTAAACAAATAACATATAGCTTGGTGCCTTAATTTGCTTACTTTGGAGACAGCACACATCTGGACTGCTATCATTTTAAGCAGGAGGAGATTAAGCTTCTCCCCAAATGATATTTGCTTTAAAAATTGTGCTTCATATGGTGGCTAAAAAAAGAGGCAATGCTACTTAATTAAAAAAAAAGCATTCATGTGTGCATTAAAGCAAAAACAAAACATCTCTATAAGAGCAGTTACAATCTTAATTGCAATGACTGTACAGATAGAAGTTGGTTTATCCTGTGCCTCGTTAACAAGTCATCTCTTTAGATGTGTTTAAAAACCTATCTGTATTCTGACATATGTACAGGCAAACAATCCTTTAAACCTTAGCAGTATTGCATTTTAGCAGATTTGTTCCTCACACTCAAACTGGCTTTCTTTCTCTGGGGAATTTTATTAACGCCCACAAGAATTCAATTGGAGTTGACCTGGATAGGAAAACTAGGCTGCAGTTGAATGGAGCCTGACATACACCAAGGTTTCAGGGGCATTACTGGTGGCCAAGGCTATGCAGGTTAGGATTCCTGTGGCTTCTGGGAACAAGGAGGGGCAGAAAGATAACTAAAAGGCTGGGGGAAGTCACACAGCTGTTTTTGTCTCTATGCCCAGAAACAATGGAGCAGGTAGTTCATCTGTTGGTGACTATGGGAAAGGGGGAAGGATAACTGAGACTGTTATGGCGAGCACAACTGGCTGGATGGCTCAGTGGGTGAGGTGTCTGGCTTGTAGGCATGCCTCTATCCTCCTCACCTTTTTAGCTCTGCATGCAGGTGAAGACCTCAACAGGATGACAACTTTGCCATTGATAGGTGAGCAGAGCCATGTGCCGATTTCATTTGCTCGTACCAGTCTCTTAATTCACTGGCTGCTGCTTATCCGGATCTCCTTAACTTGGAGGAGGGGGAGAAAGGGACTTCTTTTGCCTGCCTGTCTGTCATTGCTTTCCTAAGTAAGCAATTCTGCTCTGGCAGTTTAAAATCTGCCTTTCAGGGGCACTGCCAATCTGATTTAATTTTAAACATTCATAGGAAAATCTGGTGCATTGTATATGCTAATATTCCAATACATTCATGGAGTTTCCAAGTCTGCAATTGACACTAAGTCCTCTTAAGGAACAAGACTCTCCTTAAGAAATCCTCCTTGATTAAAACTGTTGAGAAAGTCAGACCATTTTGGGCAGAGATTCAAAATGAGCTGTTATTGTCATTTTGATGCATCCACACAGCATCTGCGGAATGAAAAGTCCAGACTCCGTACATGGTATGTGGAGGCTGTGCAACCATCTTGTTTTTTAGATTTTAGAATCACAGATGAGGTAACCATTTCCTGAAGGACTGGGCTGAAAATAGGAGCTCTCTGTGTGTGAAATGTGCTTCTATCTGCCCTTCACAGTTTGTCTTCCTCACCTATATCCTCGGAGTGGCCTGGCTTGGAGTCTTTGGTTTCTCTGCCGTACCGGTCTTTATGTTCTATAACATATGGTCAACTTGTGAAGTCATCAGATCACTCCCAGCAAATATGACAGCTTCAGCGGACCAAATCTGTGTGGATATCAGGCAATACGGTACTTATTTTTAATCCTGATTAAATGCTTTATCCTCTTTCCTTGTTCCTATCTTCAAGAGGGTTGTCTTACCCTTATGAGATGAACTGAAAAGCAACCAAGTGTAGAGTCTCTGAACATGTCATTACTTTTTCAATTAATGCAGATTACATTGACCTCTTTCCAAATGCATTCAGTTTAACTGTATTTGGCAAGTCATTTATCTAAAGTGATTTTGTGGCTGTTATCCGCCTTACGATATCAGGCTTAATAATAAAACAATCAGCAATATAAACTGCTTAGGCAGGCCTGACCCCCATCTCCAAATAGCTAGAAAGCATCTCAGGCTTATTTCCTGAATTGAAATCTGTAGTTGTATATCAGAAGAGTCTTAATGTTTTATAACAGTGTGAACTATACAAGTAGTTCTGCAAACCAGCCTTCTTTCTTAGTTCATTCTGCAATGGATGTGCATGCTAGGTGGACAGTAACGTAGACTTTAAACTTTGGCTAGAAATGAGAGACGAGTCATTTAGGTTTTTATTTTCGAGAGTCATACATTTTGGGATCAGGTATGTACACACACACTGATCTTTGTACTTCCAGTTCTGGTATCAGCAGCTATAATCTGATATAATCTGGTGAGGGACTGAGATTAAGTGTGTTTTGGGAAGTAAGTTAGGGGATGTGATCATGTCCTAGACCGATGAATATTAAATATTAGATTAGTGGAACACATGACCAGTCTCTTGATTCTGGGAAGTCCCAGGTAGACTCCAGCTGATTTTAACTCTTTTATGGTCCTATGTTCCCTTGCTAAGCTTCTCTGTATCTCTTCCTTCCGTTATAAGGACAGGATATGCCATTATCTTTTTAAATGGAAATTTTACAGGGTGTTCTTTTTTGTGATAATAGGGTGTTGTTTTTCTTTGGATGGGATGCTGAAAGGCAGAGAAACAGAAATGAGCACTCCACTGTGGACGGGCATGTGTTAAACCTCTTTAGGACAAGGATGATGAAATGACATTTCACTATCATACACGTGTTTTGAGAAATTATCCTTAGTGCATGCATATGTGCACAGCTAGTTGCTCAAACAAATAGAGCAAACATTTGATACACAAAGTCCTAAACTCTCTTTTTTCCAGTGCGCTTGGGGGAGGGGGAGGCATAGGCTATAAACACTAGTCCAAGTGAATGGTTGGCAGGTGTTGCAAGAGTGAAGATCCCCTTACATATCGACTGCAGAAATGAACAAATAGGATTTGCAAAAATGTGTTGCACTATGTAAGTGCTCCCTTTCCGAATAGTCAGACATTGGACTCCTCAAGGATACTGTATTCCATTCCCACAATAAAATGTAAAATTAGCTACAGAGACTTGGGAGAATGAGGATAAGACAGTCACTTTTCCATATAGAAAACTGTAAGTGCTTTCATTCAGTCTTCCCTTAAATAGGTATGATATCACATCACAGATTCCAATTAAAACAGCATACCAAAATCTACACAAACCAGCCTTATGCACAGCAGCTTTTATCCTAGGTTGAGAATATCAACTAGATGATGTAACATTATCCAGAGAAGTGTGTCTCTCTGAAGTATCTAGAATGTTAAATCTATGTTAATCAGGTCTATCTTGGCAGTTCCGTTTGCTACCAAATATTAGTTTTGTGTTGGTTGTGCATTTTATGACTGGTAACCTTTGATTAAATGAAAGAAAAGAGAGTACTTGTGTGAGCTCACCAGAAGTGGTGGAATTCATAACACACCTATGAACCTCTGATAGGTAGAGCAGGGGAGAACAAATTCTGGATTATTTGCATGTATGTTAGTATCATTGTGTTGCCCCCCATCTAATATCCATGGTGGAGGGTTTTAGCAGATGAAAATGTTACGTTCCAGTACACTGTGTCGTTTGGTGTCACATCATGCTGTGCTTCCACAGGAATGAAGTGAAGGAAGAGCAAGGAAGGAAGAAATGTCACAGATGGTAGAGATCTGATAGGCAGTGGGCCAAAGGCAAAGCGAGCAAGGAGTTCATAGAAGTAAGAAGATAAATCTTTGCAAGGCCATTGCATTTGGCTGCAGTTACCACTTCAGCACTATTAAGGAAAAACCTGAAAAGTTACAGAGATCACTGTTAGCAGTCACTTCACGCAACCCATAGAGGCAGTAATCACTGCATACAGCAGTGTCCGCAGTGACTAAAACAACCGTTTGTTTGCCATATGGGAATCCTAGATATGAGAACATTGCTTGGCAAAAGACTCTCTTCTGGATGAAGGAAGAGAACACAGATAAAATGATTTTGTACTTGATAACGCCAACACCAGATTGAACTGGTCAATGTGTGGGTGTACACTAAAGGAACAGAACTTGCATGTAGGTGGGGAAGGGAAGTGGATTTCAGGAAAAGAGAATGATGTCAGCAACCAGCATTATGTTTTCTTTGCTATTTTGACTTCAGGAATCATCCCATGGAATGCTATACCTGGGAAGGCATGTGGGTCAACCTTAGCAGATATGTGCAACACACCTGAGGTAAAAGAGGCTATAATTTCCCATGCTTTCTTCCACATCTTGACAGCTGGGTTTAAACACACCTTTCAGTCTGCTAAATACTTCATTTCCTAAAAGGAATAATGACAGCTAATCATCCAAAATGAATGACAAGAGTGTTCTGAAGACATCTGTTGTTGTTATGCCAAGCTGCTCTATGAATAGCCAGTTGAGAGAGAACAGTGAAACTTTTCTTATAGAGGTGAAGAATGTAACAGAGCAGGAAGGATGGATTCCCCGAGCATTGAAACTTATATCAGGTTTACATAACAGACAAGAATATGGGGAATAACAGGAACACTTTCTACAGATATGGAGCACCATAGGGTATGCCAATTCTGTGAATGGGTTAAAAACAAATAAGTTAATAAAATTGACAAAGTTGACTTGAGTAATGAGCAGCTGCAAATGCAGTGCTCTCAAAATATCTATCTCATTTTTATGTAAAAGTGATCTAGATCTCAGCATTTCTCACAGATCACTTTTTTAAAGCTGAGTTTATGTAACTGCCAGTTGCACAAGCATCTACTCCAGGCAAATTGGGCATGTCGGTCTGAGTCACTTCACTTGAATGGTGCTTGTAAGTTATTTGCCAACTAAAGTCACTTGGGTGACAACTTTACAACAGAAAATCTGTATTTCATTTTTCCATGCTAATATAGGTAGTAAACAATTTTTTTTCATAGCCATCTCTAAATGTCAGATTGAGAGGCCCTTGAGGGCCTCTTCCTGATCTTGAGTTCAGGCGTGAGAAGACAGTGGTGGGATCTACACTAAGAGATACTTAGGTCCCAAGCTGTGCAGCATTGTATAGATCAACACCCGCAGTTTGAATTGGATTCAGAAACAGACTAGGAACCAGTGAAGGAGGGAAAAAACCTTCTGGTGTACGAAGTTCATAATGCATGGTCCCATTTAAGATTCCTACCCTTATGTTCTATGTTGGGTGAAGTTTCCAGACCATCTTCAAGGGCAACTCTGTATGTAACATGTTACAAAACAGCAAGTGGGAGTTAATGAAACCAAGAGTTAGTGTATTTGCATCCAGAAAGGAGTGGGGCCAAACTATAACATGGAGAGCAGCCACCTTCAGAAAAGGGCCTCCATTTTTATTTTTAAAGAAGAGCATCAACTAACAGTGCCTCTGTACTGTCTGGATTGAACATGTTAGTTTTTGCCCAGCACATTACTATGGCCGAATGCTTGTAGGCGGACGATTTCTATGACATTTCACATTTTCACTGCAACCTACATTTGAACCCATAGGCCTTTTTCTCCAGATTATTCATAAATATGTTCAGGCCCATGCAAAAGGCTGCAGACAAAATATATGTCACAGAAATCCTCTCCTTAAGTTATACATGCCAAAGTTGCTGGGTTTTTTTAGCTGGCATGTAAAACACTTTAGTGGTGAAGGTGCTCATGCTAGTGCTGTCCTAGGGGCCAAAGTGCATTTGTATCACTGAGTATTTGAAATGACAAGTTTCCACTTTATTGAACAGCCAGAACGGATTAATTGGTTTTCAGTCCATTCCTATGGGAAATTTTGCTTCAACTTAAGAACACCATTCCAAAATGGATTAAGTTCTTAAGTAGAGGTTCCACTGTAGTTTCTATGGACGGAAAAGAGCAGATACGGATTAAATGGTTTTCAATGCATTCCTATGGGAAATGCAGATTCAACATAAGAACTTTTCAACTTGAGAACCACCTTCCAATACGGATTAAATTCTTAAGTAGAGACCCCACTGTACTATGGCCGAATGCTTGTAGGCGGACAATTTCTATGACATTTCACATTTTCACTGCAACCTACATTTGAACCCATAGGCCTTTTTCTCCAGATTATTCATAAATATGTTCAGGCCCATGCAAAAGGCTGCAGACAAAATATATGTCACAGAAATCCTCTCCTTAAGTTATACATGCCAAAGTTGCTGGGTTTTTTTAGCTGGCATGTAAAACACTTTAGTGGTGAAGGTGCTCATGCTAGTGCTGTCCTAGGGGCCAAAGTGCATTTGTATCACTATTTGAAATGACAAGTTTCCACTTTATTGTTCTAGTTCTATTTGTCTTACCACCTATTCATTGTGGCCTGTGCCGGAGCTGGTGCTACTGTCATAGCACTGGTGAGTACTACCATCTGCTCTCTCTTCTGAAATAACAATATATTCCCTTTGCAGGTGTAACTGTTCTCATACTGTTTAACGTAAACTAAGTAACACTTTTTGTGTTTGTTGGCACCTGGATGTAGTTTTCTCAGGAGATTCCAAATAGCAGGCAAGTGCGTACATTTCCCAATAAAGCTTTGCACCAGAGCAAGCTTTGTAATAGTCGTTTGCTGTTTTATTTAACTCCATCCTATTGCATGGCCAATTTATGGCAATTTTTGATAGAAATATATTGGCATTAGTAGTGTCTTGAATGTCCCAATGTTAGTATGCTGCAGAATTTTCCCATCTTTGGAAATAGAATTAAAACTCCTGTGTTTCCTTCCTTCAAGTCTTTTGGGAGTATGATTTTTTTTTGTCAAGATGTCAGCAAATGTATGTAGAAAGTTAATATATGTATATATTTAAAAGTAAAACTTAAAATAAATTATCTTATATAAACTGAAAAACTGTTTACATCAACCAGCTTTTAATTTTTTGACAGCCAAATTCAGGGGAAGTAATGACTTACCCATGTCCTTTCGCCTGCAGCAACCAGGCCTCCTTATAATAGTTTAGGTTAAACAGAGCTATAACTATTTTCACCAAAGCTCTGACTGAAACCCTTGCCTGACACTATATGTTTGGATTCTAACACACACACACACATGCACACACACGCAACCTGACCAAAAAGGCTTGAAGAATTTCTTGTCTCTTATATGCTCTATTTTGTTCTCTTCCACCAGCTGATCTACATGATGGCTACCACATATAACTATGCTGTTTTGAAGTTTAAGAGTCGGGAAGATTGCTGCACTAAATTCTAAATTGCATAAGCCCAGAAAAGAGCTGCACTGTGTAGCTTGAAATACCACTGACACCCTAGACTAAGAGTCTAGTTCTTTTGACGTTTGTTCCAATAAATTGTAAATAGCTTCAGTAAGCATCCTTGAGCATTTTAGATTAATACAAACCATGTCTTGTATATGAATGACAATGTGGGTGAGATCTGGCTATATTCTATACTTATGAGGGGATCCGGTTATTTTAAGTGATGTTGTAAATCATCCTTCTAAAGAAAGGACGGCTTTTGTTTAGCATCAAGCTATTTTTTCTAACCACCAACTCTGAAACAATTACTGGGTCAATTAAGAGCCTGTAATAAGTTATTTTTTCTCTGCTATTCACTAATCATAAAAAAATAAAGTATCTGTTCTACAATAGATAACAACACAAAATACAAGCCTGATTCTTGATTAACTGCCAATGTCTAGACTGTCACGCAAGTGCTGTTCTCAAATACCACACATTCGCCTCATCTCTAGTGTATTAAATAAAAACATTCTCTATTTTCACAGCCAGTTCATCAGCAAAGATCCTCAAATGGGGCTTTTACTGGTCAAACTGGCTGAGACACAACTCAGTGAGGATCGTGGAAGAATAGCCTTTTCAGTACCGGAAAGTTTGTATCAAAGCAAAATATTAGATTATTTTCGACACTCTGAAACAAAGCCTGTACAGTTTTCTAGTAAGACATGATGGAGGACATGTTCACATTGCTTGTCTTGGGTCTCTGTGAGAAAGGGCTGGCATCCACGTCCGTGGCCCAGGCTATGGTCTAGTCACTAGTTTCTAACTGGTCAACTCCCAAAGTGCATGTACTGGCCATTTGGCAAACAAAGCAAACACTCACATGGCACATTATTTTTGTGGAAAGTAGGGAAGAAATTACTATGCATTCACATGGCACATTATTTTTGCCCCAGTAAACACTGTGGAAAGTAGGGAAGAAATTACTATGCAAATTTCCTTAACTCAGATGGGTGGGAGATGCACAGGAGGATGCTACCCCGAATTACCTTTTGAGCTGCCCTTCTAGGCTTCAGCATGTTCACTTGCAAAATATATTTTCAGAGCTATTCAGTTCTTTTTCTGTTGCATTAACTGCTTTTGTTCCTACTTCCTACTAACTTTTGCTGGCTTCTAGACTGAAGCATGCAAAACTCTAGACAGCTTTAGAAAGAAGCTTTTCTGTCTACTTTAATGATTAATTATGTAGAATAACTTTTTATTAATCTTACTAGCTGCCTGCTTTGCCTCTTTGACATGCTCACTAGCCATCATGCTCACCCTTCTCTTCCAGATCCACTTCCTCATGATACTGTCCTCTAACTGGGCCTACTTAAAGGATGCAAGCAAAATGCAGGCTTACCAGGATATCAAAGCAAAAGAAGAACAGGAACTTCAGGATATCCAGTCTCGGTCCAAAGAGCAACTCAATTCTTACACATAAATGTTTGCCAGAGTCCTTTTTTCAGAAGAATTTTGTAGCTCTGACAAATCATCAAAGAGATGTTCTGCAGACCAGATGTATGTTCAAAGAAATACAGAAGTTAAAAAAAACAAAACACTTCACATTCATGCTCCTGGGCCATGTTCATAGGGAAAACTTCCAGTGGATATCCTTTATTCTTTTTAAGCACTGAGTTGGGAGGGGGAGGGGGAGAGCAGGGTCCTTATTCTAGGCCACTCTGGGGGGGGGAACCAAGTTACCAAGCATGACATCTTCATGGATACTCTTGGTAATGATACAAGAATCAATGAAGGAGCATGCTCCTTCACAAACTGGATACCACCGTTTGTATCCTGACCTGCAACAAGAAGATTTTTAAAGGCTGTATATAATACACAGGTGTAAGTAACCAAGACTCTAGTACTTTACTAGATAGCTGTTCCTTTTCTTCTCAATACTGATAGTTGTACTTAATTGATACAATTTCAGGAAGTTACAAATTGGCTTCTTCAGTCTCTGTCAAAATTGAAACTGGATTTTGTGGACTAAATGCCAGCAGTGTTGGTTTCTGAGCCGCTCCCTTTTCAACAATGCTATAATGAGCCACTGTTTGTTGTACTGCACTTATTGGAGTAAGCTGGGTGCTATTGACCCAAGGATTTTTTTTTAATTTTAAAGTTTGATGGAATGTAGATGGATGCTTGAATCAGGACAATGGTCTCCTCCTCAGAAAATAAATGTCAGCTTTGCCTTAATGTTTATTTTCTATAAATGTCTTAAGCATTTATACAGTAGTAGGAGATCATAATTCTGTCTGTATTTTATCAAAGTGGACAGTGTTACCTTGTGGAAATGACAGTAATTTAACTGTTTCAAGTGAGCTGATGAGAATTTCTTTAAAAAAATTAAAAATCCATAGCCATACAGAGCACACAGCTCAGCCACCCATGTCAATTTTGGTGCTCAATACATTTATAGATGATACCTACACATTCTCTTACAAGAAACTTGGTGTTCAGTAAAATATTGGGTGCCATTTTAAAACTGCCACAAAATCTGCCTTCTAGCATTTTCAGAAACATTCAGTGCTAGCTTGAGTACTAGTGATGGTATCTTTGGTGTGCTATTTTTTTAAAAAATATAAATGTTGGAGAAAATAAAGTACATCAGTGAGTTTTAAATCAGTAAAGAGTCAAGTCATACATCCATGTTTTGAATGTTTGCTGAATATTAAGATGCTCCTTTATACCATGCAGATGTGTATAGAGATAAAAGTACGCATTTCTTTTAAGAGGTTAAAAGAAAATAATATTAATGTGGAAAATAATTCAGGTATTACCTTGCATTCAAGTTTGTTACTTGCCTAATTTGACGTTTTCTTTTTAAAGAGGCAAAATCTATATAGAGCAGATAAAAATAGCTTAGTGTTTGTTTTTACCTGTTGCATGAAGGAAACAAATTTCTACAGCAATGCAGGTGATGTTCTTTCTAGTCCAGTGTTTGCATAAAGGTAACAGACAGTGTCTTAAAGCCTAATTCTTTTCTAATTCTCTGTAGCTATTACTGGGAGTTTTTTGAAGTTTTGTTTAAGTAGTCTAATATTTTTTATGTAAAGAGCATTCAATTTTGCTATGTATAAATTTTTGTAACCTAACCGTGAATCAATATTTTCTATCAGTGCCAAGGGCTTCCTGTAGTTATATCCGAGTGTTACAATAAATATTTGTAGATAATAGTACCAATATCTGTGTATGTTTATTTTGAGAATCTTTTCAGAGAAACAATTACAAATGTATATTCCTTCTTGTGATTGGTTGACAAATAGAAGCTTTGGTAAAGTGTGAGAATCAGTATAAATAGGGATATAGTCTTTCTTGCATCTACAGTATGTCTGGACACAAATATATACATTGGATTACCATGTGTGATACTTCTGTCTCCAGCACATGGGCAGTCCAGACTCTGTCTGACATCTAAATGTGTGTGTGGATCTCCCAAAATCTCTTTAACTGTAACATTTTCTACTATGAGAAGAACAAACAACAGGCTTATATGCTATTGTCAAGCTGTCATGCTTTGTAACAGACCAGGTTTCTATCGAAAGAAATTCCAAAATGGTGACAGTCTATAGAAAATCTAAATGGTTTTCCCTCCCTTGCACAAAAGGAGGGGATAAATTCAAGGTTAGTGAATATCACAGGTCCTTAGCTGCCCATTTGCAAGGTCCTGTTATCAACAACTTGTTTTGTGACAGAACCCTGTTTGCTACAGAATAAAATTGTGTTTTATAAGACCTTCTGGCTCAAATCCAGTTTGTGTAAATTACACCACATAAGATGTGACACCACCAACAGCACCCAAGACAATTTTTCAGAAATTAAGCATTTCCTATTTCTGCCCTGAGGTACCTTTGGCTCCCGTATAATCCCTTCCATTACTGGGAACTCATGGGGGCTGCAGTATGGGGGGGTGAGTCTTTAACTGCCCCAAATTGTTGCCATTGGGATGACTAACATGGCATACCATAACTTAACATTATATCACACAAGTTATCTGTTTTATACATGATAGGTAAACTACCTCCGAGTATCATCTTTTAGGAAGTTTCAATTCTTTTTATTTCCCTAACACATCTCCCTTCTAGAACAAATGAGTAATATGATTCATTTATTTTTAATTCAGTATTAGCACCAGGCTGCTCTTTGCTGCTTCATAAACAAGAGAAACAATTAAAAACTTGGAGAAATACTGAAGTGTGGGAAGTTGTCTTCTAGTTTTCCATTTATTGAAAGGCACAATTATTTACTGTCAGATATTTCCAAGGTTAGACATACTCTCTTGCAAACTGCTTCAAGAAGAAAGATCAGTGTGATTTCTCCATTTAAATAGTATCAAAATATTTAATAGCATGACATTATTATGAACAATGGCTTAATTTAAAAAACGAATTTGCCTGTATGAAGGAAGAAAAAATGAAACGAAAGTATTTCTACAGAAAATATTCTTATTTGTAGGTACAAATAATCAGAAGGTTTTTTCCACAAATAAGCACAGTTCAGAAAATGATTGTCATACTGGAGCTTTGAGCTACAGTAGTTATTTAACCATCTCTAACACCTGCAACATTAAGTGCTGGAACAGCATAATTTGTTCTGTCTTTAAAGTGGAGTGAGAAACTACTAATAGCTCACTAGAGCCTATTTGTTCATTAAGATGTGTTCACATATTTTTAAAAGATAAACAGCAATCTCAAATCTGATTGCTTAACGTGAACAACTGAATTTAGCTGCTGTTGCATAGGTATGGCTAACGCTGCTTGCACAACATTACAGTACTTCAACACTTATGCCAACAACTGATGATGCAGACAAATATTTTTTCTTCATAACTGTATACAGAAATATTTAAGCATTCCACAGAACCAGCCCCTTCTTTCTACACAATGGATTTTCCCCAGTGTTAGATCCATTTTTCTGACCATGTAGCATATTCACCAGAAGTCTTCATCAGGCTCTTCATGAAGAGTGCCTGCAGCACTAAAGCTGGGAAAGAGAGAAGAGTGGATTTTGAAACAGGCTCCTATTCTTTTTGCTCTACAAAATCAGTGTAGACATCTGTTGTTTAGTGAGCTGTGCAATTCAACACACAACAAATAATGTCTACACTGACTTTGAAAACTGCAGCAGCTTGATGCTAATATACCACCAGGGCTATGCTAGCAAGAAGAGTTGGATGAATATTAGTTAAAGTGAAGATACTCATCATCAAATGCATTAGTTTTGCCAGATAAGAGAAAGAAGCTGATATTTATTACAATAAGTACTTTACCATTTGAAGTGCTTAATGGACAAGGACAAACCAAACAAGAAACAAAGTATGAATCAAGACACCAACCAGTAGAAAGATGCCTACCTGTCCTCCCTTTCAACATCTAGGTGTCCCTCAGACACTTCTTCTTTCATGGAGTTCTAGGAAGAAAAAAAAGAAGTATTAAGTGATGTAGCTTAATACCTCTCATAATAGCCTAAAGCATCTCTACAAAATACGTTTAAATAGTCTATTAGTTATTTAAAATATTCCCAAAGCACTGCACAAGTGATGATACTGATGAGTCTCTTCCATTATACATTTTCATGCATTCTACTAATGAAATACAGTGGGGGCTTGACTTGAGAAAAAAAAAAGAAGTATTAAGTGATGTAGCTTAATACCTCTCATAATAGCCTAAAGCATCTCTACAAAATACGTTTAAATAGTCTATTAGTTATTTAAAATATTCCCAAAGCACTGCACAAGTGATGATACTGATGAGTCTCTTCCATTATACATTTTCATGCATTCTACTAATGAAATACAGTGGGGGCTTGACTTGAGAACTTAATCCGTGTGACACCAATGAGACTCTTCCATTATACATTTTCATGCATTTTACTAATGAAATAACACAAAGAAAACAAGCTCATTAAGCTGCCAGCTTGTACATAGTGACTGCGCAGAATCACCTCAGAAGGAGATAGTGGATTAAATCTATCATTAATCTTATACAGGGAAAGGCTCATGAAATCAATGAGAGCCATGGCACGTTGGACCAGCAAGTCCCATTCATTCCTACTCTAAGGAAGATAACCACTGAATTCATCCCAGATTATAAACTCCTTCAAGGAATAAAAACAGGTAAAACCATATTTGGCTACAAAAACCAGATAAAATTATACCCTGTCCTCAGAGCGTCTCCTGAAGATCTTATTTTCTGGGCAGGATCATAACAAAACAGGTAGTCATTTCGATAGCTAAGCCTCACACCCTCTAGGGCTTTAAAATCAACATCTTGAATTGGGCCCAATAAGCCACCGGTGACCATGCAGATCTTTCAGTATCAGGATCATATGTTCATATTTCAAAAGTGCCCTGCTAATGTTCAAACAGTTTTGGAACTGTTAGATTAACGGAATGCAATGGTTAATGCTGCGAAGAAAACAAGATCATTAAGCTGCCAGCTTGTACATAGTGACTGCGCAGAATCACCTCAGAAGGAGATAGTGGATTAAATCTATCATTAATCTTATACAGGGAAAGGCTCATGAAATCAATGAGAGCCATGGCACGTTGGACCAGCAAGTCCCATTCATTCCTACTCTAAGGAAGATAACCACTGAATTCATCCCAGATTATAAACTCCTTCAAGGAATAAAAACAGGTAAAACCATATTTGGCTACAAAAACCAGATAAAATTATACCCTGTCCTCAGAGCGTCTCCTGAAGATCTTATTTTCTGGGCAGGATCATAACAAAACAGGTAGTCATTTCGATAGCTAAGCCTCACACCCTCTAGGGCTTTAAAATCAACATCTTGAATTGGGCCCAATAAGCCACCGGTGACCATGCAGATCTTTCAGTATCAGGATCATATGTTCATATTTCAAAAGTGCCCTGCTAATGTTCAAACAGTTTTGGAACTGTTAGATTAACGGAATGCAATGGTTAATGCTGCATATTACAGTAAGAAGATATAGAAGGTAAAAAAAACCTTAAGTAATTAGTTTCAACCCTGTTATGTCTCTCAGTCTTGGATGCTAGCACAAGCATGTGCTCACAGAGGAATTCTGTATCTAACTATAATATTAATTTTAATAATATTAAAACACCAGGGGGTTTGGCTGACACAAGTACTTGCACTTTGATTTTATTATATACAAATGTTTACAATTTACATCATTATCAAATATATTAAGAAATAAATTGTTGGTTAGTTATAAAAGTAACTAGGTAATAACTTGGATTATCCACTAAATATAAACTGGCTGACCAATTAGTTTGCAATCAGTAAAGAAGAAAATGCAGGATATATACTCTTAAGTTTCCTATTTAATAAAAAGTAGACCTTTAACCCTTGAATCTTGTTCTAGCTTCCCTAACAAAGGACAGAAAAGAGCCAAGACAACTGATGAGAACGTGTAATAAGGAATTTCAAGGCTCTCTATCTGGCTCTTACACAACACACACCTTGATCTCAAGTTCCTGCTCTCGATTCTGCTGTATTATTTTCATGTATTTCTCCAGTGGATTAGGGGTACCACTACCATCATGCTCTTTAGCCTTCAGTACATTTGTTTTTAAACTGGTTCCTTCACCATTTGGGTCTTCCTCATTGGTCTGCAATGACTCCTGAACATACTTAAGAAAAACACAGGAAGATTAGGGTTTGGGAGAATCAAAGGGAATTCTCAATTTAAACTTAGGCTACTGCTAGCAGATTCCTCCTACGACATTCATCATTTTATACTTTCACAAGGACTTTGAATTAGTATATGCAAAAAATTGTAGTAAATTAGTTGCAAGAATTATACTCATACTCAGACACAGAACAAATTGATACATTAATCAACTAGAAGAATTTAATCTGGAATAGAAAAATATTTTAATATTGCTTTTTTCCAGAACATAGCAGAAATCTTAGTTACTTATAAAATAATACTTGCATCCTTCATTCATAAGAGAACAAATTCAAGCTACTTTAAGGTACAGATTTTTATTTCTAAAAAACACATTTCCTTCCCATTACTAAGATACATGAAATAGTCCTGATTGACCATCAAAGTGGTAATTTTCACACCATTTTGTTATAAACAAGCAAATAAAAACTTGTTTTCCTAAATGTGACTTCTACCAGTTTCCGCACGCCCCATGCAAATCAGTGCTGTGCTGGAGCTGTCTAGAGGAGCTGGTACTCTGCTTCTGATCTGGTCGATTTCTTTCCTAAGGGAACTACTCCACTAGCGCAAATCCTGTCACTTTGCATAGTAAAACACACTGCAATAGACTTATTGAATCAGTGGGAATTTAGTGAGTCACCTCCTCTGTAAGTTCCATTTATTCAAATGAGACTACCTTAATTGTGACTTACTTTAGCATAGTAAGTCATAGTTAGAGTAGGCCTGTTGGAATCAATGGAAGTTAATAGAGGAGGTGACTCACTAAATCCCAATTAATTCAATAGGCCTATTCTACTGTAATTTACTATGCTAAGCAACAAGATGTTGGCTGCTGTTTGAAAAGATATGTGACAGTAAAACCCTCAGTCCCTCAACTACTAAAAGAATGGATGGAAAATGAAAAGTGTTCCATGATGCAATAAAACTATCGACAACAGTCACCCTGAACCATGATGCTGGCTTCATGACAGACTAGGGTATAAATGTGTGCCCTGCAAGCAATAAACCTTGTGCAATTATGCCTATGCCTCTGAAAAACTATTGTCTATTTATGGTTCCAATGGAGTACGTGGGATGCATTTCTAAAGAGACTCATTATGGATTTCTAAACTCAGTAAGAAGTAAACAAATTACCACTTCCTCATTCAATTGCCTCCCTCCTTCCTCCGTTTCCAACGCTTCTGGCTTCTCTCTCGGCCACCTTTCTTCAAGGTTCCTTTTTTCTTCTTCCCACTTTTGTTTCTTCTCTTCTTGCTGCTCTTCAGGATGACTTTGTTCCTCCAAGGTTGTTGTCTCTTCCTTACCTAATACATGCAGGGCAGCATTCAACAAGCCAATGAAGACAAGTATGGGCATGCCGCATGCACTGAATCAAATAAAGGCATATGCCATGGTAGAACAGTCGGGCCAGAACCCTATTGGTATTGGACAATATAAACTGGAAATTGTAGAACTTGGGTTCACAGCCTTGTCAGCTCATACATAATGCTCAAGTTGTGCTACTAGTTGTACACTCAAGTTGCACAAATTGGGTGCATGACAGAGCACTGGCAAATGCAGGAGCTGCTTGTGCAATCAATCTTACCCACTTGGTACCACACATACTTAGAACTGTAGCCTATGTGACTATTCTTTTATGACAAAGCATATTTTTAACTGCAAATAAAACACACTAGTATCAATCCTGAAAAATGCAGTATAGTTCTCCAGAGAGAAAAATTTGGCTGTGTGCTAAGAGACATGTTGTTGAAATTTTAGAAAACCACTCATGTTGAACACATTCCCTCAAGATAACACACATAAGAACAATGCTGCAGTGCTCTCTGTCACTAGTATTCACTTTCCAAGGATCCCACCAAAAGAGAATAAAGATGTCATTTCAATACGACTGTCCTTTTCTTAAGCTTGCGCTCTGTAACTACTCCTGCACTCCAGCAAAATACTGGAAAAAACTGTCACACAGATTTTTATTACAATTATCACAATTACAAGGTAACTGGATGGCTCTGCACGAGGCATGAGGAGTAAAGAGCAGCGGGAGGAAAAGGAGTCTCATCTTCCCCTTCCTCTCCACCTGCTGCCCAAGTCCCTGACTCAAGCTCTTAGATGCTATACTTCAGACACTGACATTTTGAATGCTGCCTTTTGTCCTTTGGTTTTCAACTATTAGCACACTGTTTTTGTCTGGTAAGATGACACTGATATACAGTACATTTCCTGTACATTTCTAAATGTATAGGAACAGTACATACAGAGGCAGCAATGTTAGCCTATGTTAGCGTGTATAACCAAATTAAACTGAAAAGCAAATTCCAGTGGCACCTTTAACACTCATTTCAGCATGAGCTTTATGAACTCAATCCAGGAAGTAGATTAGATTGTAATTCATGACACTACATACTGAAATAGATGGATAAGTCTTAAAGTTTCCACAATATTTTACTTTTTGTTTTGTTTTACACTAAGTTTTAAATGTTTTAAATAATTTGTGAAACATCAAATTTCAATGAGCTTTAAAGAAATAAAATATTTAATCTATATTTCAGTGTTCTACATTATTTCAGACACAAAATCTGCTTCCCATTACTCAAAAATGCTTCCATCTCTTATGCCAAATTAAATAGATGTATTCCAATTTCCTATTATGATTTTTGGATATTCTAAAACAATACTATGTTTTGGGTTTTAGGAAATGCAACTTCCACATGCTCTGATAAACAAGCTATCTGAAAAAAGTAATCACACATTTGAGTTGAAAACATACTTCTGTCCTGCTGTGAAATGACTGTTGCTGGCACAATGGCCGGGACATGGCTCCCACGAACATCATCCCCAGAGGGATGTGACACATCACTTTTCAGCAGTTCTGGAATGTCCTTTTGATCTAGAGAAGTATGAACAATGGCCTCATTATTTTGCAATTATCAAAGCAGGGCAAAGAAATGGACACAGTGTGGGAATGACTGGAGCTCAGAATGCCTAAGTGTAAGCCATTAATTAAGGGCTCTTCTTGGCCAACTGAACCATTACCCTAAGAATGAAGAAAATTCAAATGGGCTCTATTGCTGCTTTAATCAGAATCATGGGACAGTTTGGCTCAGAAACTAGGTTTTACAAGACATTTATTAATCAAAGAGGAAATACAGCTGCTGGTTCAGTAACTTGTTAGGTTTAAAATTCACAGAAGTTAAATTTGTGCACAGGCATAAGAGTGGCAGGGACATGGGCACATACATCAATCAACCTCATTCCATAACCTGGAAGTCACTCAGATTTCACACGAGGAACACAAAGGTCTGAAGCACAACGTGTAAGGATTTCAGCTGCATATTCTTACAGGGTACACATGATCAGAACCCCTGACTGGTATGAGCACTATAATCCTAAATCAACCCAGTGCACTTACAGACTTTCACATCCCTCATGCTGAAGATCAGAGTGACGTCTAGGTGGGTCATGAGGGCAGGTCCATATGTGTCCCACATCCCCACCATTCTTTTAGTACTTATAGCTGTGGGACCAGCTTTTGTCCTTTTCAGGAAATTGGGTGATTATGGTGATCAGCGTGTTTTTTTATTGTGGGTGTATTGTTATCTGTCACTGTAATTGGGGATTTTTTATGTGTGTGCATGTGGGTCTGGTCCCTGGGTGTCTGTGTGAATTTCATTGTATGGGTATACTATGTATATGCTTACAATGACAAAAAATTTATTTGAATTTATTTGATTGATTTGATTTGTGTTGAGCAGCAAGAAGAGACAACCATCAATCACAGTGACAGATAATCTTTCCGCTTTATCACAATACACCCACAACAAAAGCTGATCCCACAGCTATAAATAACTATCCAACAAACTGCACCAGAGCACAGACAGAGTTCTGACTCCTGTCCTCTGAAGATGCTGGCCACAGAGACTGACAAAACATTAGGAAGAAAAACCTTAAGAACATGGCCAAACAGCCCGGAAAACCCACAACAACAAACATCATATACGCTCAAATCAATCAGCAGAGTATCAAAGATTCTTAAGACGACTTTGTTATTACCGTATATTTGGCCTATGCTAACAACTGAATTTTCTAAGCATTTTATTAAATTAAACTGTACTGTATCAGCATATTTTGGTTTTTCTCATAAACTGTTTGTATGGGTCTATTAGACTGTATTAAATACTGCTGCCTGGGACTATCTTCTCATTTCTGAAATGTACGAAATAAAGCAAATCTTGCCCTTTGGTACGCCTTGAACGGAACTGCCAGGCAAGTTATATAACAGGTGGTTCAGAACGGTGTGCGTGTGTGAAGAATGAGGACATGTTATCATATATGTGGGTTCCTCAGCTCAATTTGTACCTCATACTGTGTCTGCACATGCACACATATACTCACAGGTTAGGAGAGACACCAGTGTTAGATGATAACTACAGTTGTACTCCTAACACTGGATGTAATGTCACAACTGATGCTGCTCCTCATGCCACAGTGCTCAAGAGGCTGTATTTCTTTGGATGCAATGTCACAACTGATGCCACAGTGCTCAAGAGGCTGTATTTCTGTGGCTAAAGACAACTTGGGAGCAATAGATTACGCAGCTAACAGGCAAAGGAAAGCCTCAAAGGTCTGAGTGGGAAGTCTGAAAGGTATATTATCTCAGAGCAAGCTGAGATGTTATGAAAAACCAAGGGAGTAAGAAGCAAGCTGATGCACTTTCTTCATCCTGGGAAATAAAGATTTGTTCTCAATATTGAAAGTTAAATTTTTAAAAAAGTTTTGTACTGTTTTGTAAAGTTTTAAAATGTTTCTTTGTAAAAGACACAACGAAAGCTTACATTCACTGGCAGAGTCACCATTTCCAAGATCTTCATACAGAAGTTCTTCAGGAATTGCAGAGTCACTAACGTTCTGATTTGGATTTTTACCTGACTCTTGATTAATACTAAAAGAAAGAAAGGAAGGAAGGAAGGAAGGAAGGAAGGAAGGAAAACAGCTTCATTTAAACTTTACCACTCTCAGCAGGATTTACAAGGCAAACCATGACAGTAAATTTATTTACTTAGATGTACTTTATATCGGGAAAACTTTATCAGTACCAAGACTCTTCATAAGCTGCTGCATGTGACTTTTATTTTGCATTAGCACATGTTTATAAGGCCATTAATCACATTTAGATTTCAGGGCAGCACATAATGTGGCAATAGCATTATGTCCTCTATGTTAAATAATAAACATAGCACCATATATATATTCTTTCAAGTCAGGGCTTCCCCGCAAGAACTTCAGTAGCATTCAGTTACTTCATTTGTGTACTATTTTTGTATATTGCTCAGAAAAATAGATATTGAACCATGTGGTTCGTTATACCTTCCTTTATTTAAGGAGAGTATAACGAACCACATGGTTGCAATATTCATTTTTCTAAGGAATATACAAAAATAGTACACAAATAAAGTAACTGAATACTACTGAAGTTCTTGGGGGGAAGGCCTGACTTGAAAGAACTGCAGAAGGATTGGAAGCAACACATAACAAATAACGGCCACTGTGGAGCTGAAGGTCTTTCCCCACAACCTTAGTCAAAGCTGTTTAATTACCTGAATTTATTTTCACAGGGAGGTGGTGAAGAGGAAACTGATATGTTAGAAGGGGATTCAGGAGATGAATGGTCATCTGTTCTTGGAATGGGTGACAGAGGCTGGTCAACATCCTGAGAGGGAGCAGCAAGAGATGAGCCAGTGGGATCTGTAGAACAGATAGCAGTGACTTATTCTCATGCAATGACTGAAGAGCTACCCTAAGTTTCAATCCTCTTCATAAGTGCCACAGAACCTGACTGATATCCACTGAATACTTGATGACTTTTAGGTTCCTAAAAACACTAGGGGTACTATTTTTAATGAAACTGTATTTTTGTTTTAAAGAACCCATTGAGCGTATTGATATTTACTGCTACAGAAATTTTTTTAAAATACTGTACATGGGCTGCTGCACAATGCATAATTTTAAATGATGGAAATTTGTTTCCTTGGAAACAATTACAGTAGGTCATCTGCACCTTTGTCATTTGGAACAATGATTCAAGAAATATCCCTTGCATAATGTTTTGAAAATTGGTTTCTAAACAAGAAAGGAACACTGGTAGCATCAACCTTTCAGTGTCCAACATGAATGGAAAAATGCAGAACAGTTAAAAGAATGGGAATACACACAAAAATATTGACAGACATGGGCAGTCTGTGCCTCTCAAAGAGACAGAACTAGTTCTCTCTTATGGAAGTTTTCAAATTAGAAGCAATCCATTTATTATATGAAGTACAAGCATCTTTTTCACACTACAACTGCACATCTAAAGTTTCTTTGGATTTATTAAGCAGAAGGAGTAAGAAAGTTTGTGTAGTCATTTCCATGATATCAGTGCAAAAATATATATGGACTGTGGGAGCAGATATTGGTCCATCACAGTTCCAATCTAGCATAGGCATCCTGTTGCTTACATAAAATAATAAACATTTGCGCATAATTAATAAGTATTACGTTGCTTACTATATATACTGTATGGACTGTGGGAGCAGATTTTGGTCCATCACAGTTCCAATCTAGCATCAGGCATCTTGTTGCTTACATAAAACAATAAACATTTGTGCATAATTAATAAGTATTACGTTGCTTACCATCAGAAAACAGCTTGCTATTGATGTTTCTCTTTGCTTTGGAAACGGGAGTAGAAGACAGACGCCTAGCAACAGCCGTTCTTTTCAGTGGTGGTGTTAAAGGGCCTTTTAAGCAATGCCCATTTTCTGGTGTCCAATCATAGCTTTTAGTTTTTTGACATTGAATGGGAAATTCCTTGAAGCCCACATCATTATGTGCAAAACAACATTGCTGATGAGAAGCCACTGAAAAAGTATTTGGTAAATTTGATGAAGATGGGATCTTTGATGGGCCAACGGTGCTTTGAATAGCTCTGTGCTGGTAATTCCTGTAGGCTTCTTCTAAATATTCTGCTTCTTTCTCTAATTCACGTATCCTAGCCTTTGTGTTAGCTACAAATTCTAAATCAGAATCTGGTGAAGCATAGGATCTTGGATGGTGGCTAGGACCTGTAGCATTTCCAACTGCAATAGCATCAGTCATAGGAGGAGTCTTCAAGAAAGCCCCGTCTATATATATATCATGAGGTACAGCCTTGTTACCAATCATGTCAAGAACAGAACGATCAACCAAGGAGGGTTTAGGATTCCGATATACTTCATTTTCTAGTGCTAGACAAGTATTTCATACAGAGATAAAGAAAACAATTTTAAAAGCTTATGATTGTGAATTTTGAACTGGTCGTACCATTGACATGCAAAATAGATAAAACATGAACTTATATTTCTATTTTAATATACTTATTCTATACACAAACCCAAAAAATGTTTTCACCAAGTGGAGAACTCTAAATTATTTGTAAATGAAGTTTAAGTTATTTCAAGCTTGTATGATAACACAGAACTGACAGAAGGACATGCTTCCAATCATACAAAGAGGAGGTCCTTGATTCACATTGACTCCTTCACTATTTGTTGTTATTTCAACTTATATACCATCCCACAGTGCTGGAGTACTCTTTCAGCAGTTTACAGCATAATTATGCAAACAACTTGTCCCCCCACCCACCAGTGAGCTGGGTGTTAATTTTACCAACAGATGGAAGACTGAGGATGGAAGAACGGAAGGCTGAGTCTACCTTTAGCCGGCTACCTGAAGCCACTGGGATCAAACTCAAGTCATGAGCAGAGGCTTGACTGCAGTACTGCAGTTTAACCACCATACAATGGGGCTTGATATGTGATACACCTTGTTTCACACATCATTCTGAAAGGTCTACTTGATCTTCAGGATCAGCTTTTCAGAAAAAGGAATGCAAGGGTGTGAGGTAAGAAAGAAAAAACAGAAAAACCCAAATCTGCTAGTGGAATGCTACTTACAGTTCAGCCTGTGTTGTCTAAAGCAGTGGTCCCCAAGCTTTCCCCAACCACGGAACAGTTGGTGGGGGTGGTGTGCCTGCAGGGGACAGAGCTCTCTTGTGCACATGTGCACAGCGCACTCACAGGCAGCAGAACGCGCTTGCGTGCTTGTGGGGGTGCTCACACACATGTGCAGGGGTGAACACGCTCACACGCATGTGTGCAACGGCACACATGGGAGGGGGAGATCTGTGTCTGCGGCCCGATCCTGGATAGGCCATGGACCACTGCTGGGTTGCGGACCAGGGGTTGGGGACCTCTGGTCTAGAGCCTAAACTTAAATGTCACAATGCAGAGACAGATTGACAACCTCTAGAAATTGTTGGACAGTAGCACTATCATCCTTTACTACTGACCAAAAAACCCACTTCTATCACCATCATCATTATTATTAGCTTGGCTAATCAAGATTTTATTTTAAAGGAAAATTCCAACCCTACAGGAGTTCATGGGATTGATAAACTGGGGTTTCAAGTTTCTTTTCTCTGTTCACCACCTAGAATAGTGGGTTACCACAACATGGGTTGGTTGGTAGATAGATTAGATAGACAGATATGCAATTCCCGCCCCCATTACAAAAAATTAAGCTGAAGGGGAAGAAAAGAAGAGAATGTTTTTCAACCTGTCTGTGTTTGCTTCAGTTGTAACTTCAGGTCTTCCATCTGTGCATTTAGCTTTCTGATAATATTTTCAGATTTTGCAAGTTGAGACTTCAGCTGTACAGTATGATCAACCTAAAAAGATTTTAAAGAAAAAACTGCTTACTAATTCAAAGAGGTCTTAACACTAATGTATTCTTATTTTTCACAGTCTTTGTAGAATGGATGCTCCAGAAAACAATGCCCTCACTCCATTAGTATACTGCTATGTGTTGTTTGCAATTGTCCAGAACTGTAAGAGCGATCTCTCAATCTGGAGAGATGAAAGTTATGGACTCAGACTCTACCTTTGCTTCTGTATGGAAGAAGTTCTAGCATATGAAAAATGTTCTGTCTACAGTGCTAACCACTTGCTTAGCAATGCACCCCTATGCGCACATTCGTCTGTACTGAATTGTGACATAACACCTGAGCAAGATCTGTTTGTGCAACCCAAGGTGTAATTTCTAAATTCAGAGAAAAAGGCATCCAATATCTTATTCACAAGTGTTTCTTGCTTTCGCTGTTTCAAAATGGTAAATATGTTGTAGGCTTACATAGCACAGATCCACTGTTACTAACCTGTGGGCATTTTCACTCTGTCTGCATTCATCTCATTTAGGCTTGAAGTTCAACCAACACTGCACATAGGGGTCCACTGCATATAAAGTGGTTGCATGTGTCATTTGATGGATCGGCCTTTTTCAAAAACCCAGCAAATTTCTAAAAATGGTTTTGATCTTCATTGCACCCATAGGAACATATAGTGTATTTACACTGGAACTGCAATTCTTATTTGACATCCATGATTTTTTGTAAAAAAAATTATTTTGAATATAAACTTTCTTGAGAAAGGTCTACACAAAGTTTAGTGAAAGCACCTAAAACACAGGAAATTTACCTCGTTTTGTAGCTGTTTTTCCAAGAGCTGCTTATGAGTTTCGGACTCCTCACGTTCAAGCTTTCTAGCGTCTTCTGCTCTTTTCAACTCTGCTTGAAGGATCACATATTCAGACGATGGCCGATTTAGCTCTGTAAATATAAATGTAGATTATATATATTAAGAATCAGATCTTACTGACATATTTAAATCTGACTTACTCCATCTAACAGATATTCAGTAACAGAATACCCAACTTCAGCGCTCTATGCTGTTAATGTTAAAATGGTATTCGTGGATTTTTAAGGGCCCTGTTGAGGACAAGCATGGACATCTTTCTTCATATCAATCAAGTTTATTGAAAAATTGATAAAGCTTCATTAAATAACCACAACAACACTTTCACACGGCTTCACTCAAATTAGACGATATAGCACAACAAATCAATGTAACTGGGATAGAAGGGCAGATGCAGATAGACTAACGAAGCTTTTCTGGCAGATATCCTTAAACAAGTTTGGGAGTTAATTCCATACAGTGTTGTCTATCTTATCCTATGGGACATGAAAATACTCAGGTACAGGGGTTCCCATCACTACCTTCCACTAATCTATTTATCAAAGAAACAGGGCTCCAGTGTGATAGAAATAAATAGGAAGATATATTCATGAGATTGTTATATTTTTATTGACACTCTATTATGTCTTTCATTTAAGTTGCAGTAGAGTGACTATGAACACACACCAATTAGTAAATCCATTAGTAATTGAAAATAACACAGAAACTGTTAAGTATGTTTACCACTACAATAGCTCTAAAGCACATGACAATAAATTAAAATGCATGAATAAGACTGGGGAAAAACATTATTGCTTTGCCATCAGCTGGTTTATATGTAATGGTATAGTGACAAGAACAGATGATAGCTTATTGGCATCATGAGACCATATGCAATGATAATAATGCCAGGAGAAGAGGAGAAGCAGTGCAAGGGATAAACACCAAGTGTTTGCTAAACACTTAAGAAAAGTTATTGGATTAACATAAGATACAACTTTGCTGGTAACGAAACATAGCAGCCAAACTAATTTGGTGAATGGGCTGCAGAATAAAACAAACAAAAAGAAAACACAGAGTAATCTTTGTATAGGTTACTGGTGGAGTGGGTAAAAGAGAATGAGGAAAAACCAACACAACAGAATATAGGAATGTGCCATCCGGGCTTTTTGGACTCCTAACTCCGCAAATGTGCCAAAAATTCTGCAGAATTCTGGGAATCCAGCTGACAGGCCCACACTTATAAACATCTCCAGACACTTTTATTTAGCTCACCTGGCTCAGGACCAATCTAAAAAACTCTCATGCCTGTTTTGGGTCTACTTCCCATTGTTAAGATACAAAACCTGAAGCAGCCATGGTGCTTTCTGGGCATCACAGTTCTTTAGGAGGCACCTTCTATAGAGCCTAAAGGGCAGCAAGACTACAATTCCCAGAAAGCAGTGCAGCAGTTTTTGTTCTTGTACATTAAAAATGGAAGGTGGAGTACTACAGGACACGAAGGATGCAAACTAATCACACTGTTTAAGAAGACAGGGGTGACTGCAATAACTATCGTGGCATCTCTCTTCTCAGCGTTGTAGGGAAGCTGCATGCTCGTGTTGTGCTGAAGAGGCTCCAGGTGCTTGCAAATACAGTCTATCCCGAATCACAGTGTGAATTTCAAGCTAATAGATCCACCATTGACATGGTATTTTCCCTCAGACAGCTGCAGGAGAAATGTAGGGAACAATGACAGCCACTCTTTGTGGCCTTCATAGATCTTACAAAGGCAGGGACGGCATTTTAAAATACTTCCCAAGATTGGATGTCCACCTCGACTCTTTAACATCATCAGGTCCTTGCATGAGGAAATGAAGGGCACTGTAGTTTTTGATGGCTCAACATCAGATCCCTTTGACATCCCAAGCAGAGTGAA